AAAAAAAAAAAAAAAAAAAAAAAGAAAGATTCCTCTACAGAGTAACCAAACACAATAACAATTCTTTACAAATTCAAATTCCATTAGCCAATGATTTTCAAACACAGCCCACGAATCGCCTTCTCCGATCTACTTATCTTCTGGGCTGGGCAGAGTTTCCGCATCAATGGCGGATCCTTGCCTGGAAATCGACGCCGACATCGAACTCGGAGCTCTCGGGTGATACGCCGATATCTTCTTCCCTTTTCCTTCATAAATAATCCCATCTTCTTCATCTGTAACTTTGCATTTCTCCCCTAAAATTATGGTCTTCGTCCAAATCGAATCTTCCCCTTTAATCTTATCCTTTTTCTTATGCCGCCCATCGTCTAAATTGTGCCTCGCCACCGACAGGCTTCTCGGAACATTAACGCTCATACTTTTCATATGGGTTAATTTCCTTTCCGAAGCCGATTTAGAAATTTGCGTCGGCGGGCTCGCACTCCCGAGCTGTTGCATTTTCGGAGGTAGGGGAAGTTCTTTCACACCCTGTTCGTCGCCGTCGTTTCCTGTTTCTCCGCCGGATGGGTTCACCGTCGGGGAAGCGTTCTCGCCTGGTTTGTTGTCTGCGGCGGTTGGAGATGAAGCTTCAGAGGCTGTGGGTGTTTTCCGGGATCGGTCACCGCATAACGTGGTGATCATAGCGATGGCGGCTGCCATCCCAGCCGCTAGAAGGGAGAGGGAAATCGCCGGATGAATTAGCGGGTTCTCATCCGTCGGAAAGCTTCTCACCATGACTAAAACATTAAAAAAAACAGAGGAAAATGAAACCCAACAGAGGAGCTCTGTTTTCATCTGTTCATTTTGGGATGCTCTGTTTTTTTATTTTGTCTTGTTTTTTGTCTACTTCGAGCTGGAAAATCGAAAAACAATGGCAGAAATTGATTAGTTTCTGCAAGGAAATGAGGAATTGAAAGGAGGATGATGAAGAAGAAGAGATTGGATGAGTTTTTTTTGGCGTTTTTGGCTCTGTTTTTTTGGTCTGTTTTCACAATAAAAGAAGGCGAAAATACAGGGGAAAATGGGAGAGAAACAAAGTTTTTGCTTCTTTTCTGCCCAACCAATTTGATCCACCAAAATTATATGTATTTCTTTTTCTAAAGTTAAAATAAGTAGTTCGTTACTTGTAAATTCTATGTGGAGAGTTAAGAAGCGGTTACAACACAGTATGGTCAATGACCCGTCATTTTTAAAATAAAATTTAGGACATGAACACGACCATGAACACGACCATGAACACGACGATGACATGAAATATGTTGAAGCTGAGTTGTAAATCTTGAATCAATGGTAGAAAATAAATAGATAATTCCAACAACCGGAACTAATTCAACCCAAATATTTAAGGATATGAACAAACAACTCTAGTTAAAAACATATTTAAAATCAAAATCAATATTTAAGTGAGGTGAACAGGTGAACAATGAAAGTGAACTAACTCTAGTTTTCAAAATTTAATAGAAAACTAACGTCCCCTATGTTTCTGAGCGCTAGTTTTCTGAGTTATCATCAAGAATAGTGAACGATGGTACCAACTGCTTCATTGTAAGTGAGGTGAGGTACTTATTTCGGGCTGAGGATTAGCACAGATTTTGTCTTCTTTGGTGGATTGATTGTCCCTACCTAACTACATGGTTATGGTCTCAAGCCCAATAGCTCTCTCGAATTCTAAAGTAATCCTTGTAATAATTCGAGCGTGTACAAGAATATGTAGAGCTCGACATGTCTAGAAGCACATAATGAAGTGAAAGTTGATGAACCGGAGAAGGGTCAATATTGTAAGTCGAGCATAAGAAAGACCCCAACAAAGCAAAACCAGTAAATGAGTTATCAAACCAACCTTAAGTTCATTTACAATTCCAATAGATTTTTGAAAACTATGTTTCCTTTTCTTGATCAATCATGATTTTTTGCTATAATTTTGTTCATATTCATTTAACAAAATGAGTGGCTGAGAAGAACAGTGGGCATAGAACAAAATAATACTATCATCTCCATATGATTTGATATCAAACACTATTGACTGATTCAAAGAATGAAACGAAATGAAAAGAGAAAAAAGATAGCTTTTATTTGCAAAGTTTGACTGATTCACTTGTTTACATTTCAACATTTCAACATTCATAACTCCCAAAAGAGTATCCAACCAAAACAAACAGATCAGATGATGAACAATGATGAACAATGAAGAACATGAACAGAAATTTCCCAGAAAAAATCACAAAAAGAAGACTATTTAATCGAATGGAAATCATCCCAGATACAGAATTTGTTGGATCTTCCATAAGAAACTCACCACCAGCCATAAAGCATTTGGGTGTACTTATCCTTGAGCCATCTGAAGCTCTTTCTGAAGGAGCCTTTCATCTTGCCTTCAACAGAGTACATCTTGTAACTGGCAACCCTTTTCTTCCTTTGAAACTCAGGATCTGAAAATTTGAATGATTTTGAAGAAGATCCAGAACTTCTTTTGTCTTGTTTCCCAGGAATCTGGCTCTTCGGTGGCCCGTAATAGCTCTCAATCTGCATCGACGAGCTTCCGTAAGAACCTCTTCTGTCATCATCCATGGAGGAGGAGGAGGAGGAGGAGGAGGAGGAAGAGGAGGAAGAAGAAGAAGAGATTGGGAGTTCTGAAAACGTGGGAGCAATAAGGAGGAAGATGGGTTGGCTTTTGGGGAAACTTCAATTTTATAATGTTTTCTTGGGTGGAAGAAACTGACTTTTGGAATTTATGCTCTCCCAAATGTATTCTTTTATTGCATACACACGAGGTGTGTTCTTAGGTTTAAATTTGTAACAATTTAGTCAACGAAGTTTAAAGTCCGTAACGATTCAGTGAAGCTAACGATTCAGTGACTATATTCATGATAGAAGCTAACGATTTAGTGACTATATTCACGATGGAAGCTATCGATTCAATGACTATATTCATGATAGAAGCTAACAATTGAGTGACTATATTCATGATAGAAGCTAAAGAAGCTACAAATTTAAACTATAAGAAATATATCGTTTTATATATTAACCTCTCGAACTAAGTCATTATTGATCTAAAAACCTAGTTAAAATAGATAGACCAAAACTATTTTATAATCTATAAACATTTACGAAATGGGTATGAAACGTCTAAATCTTGTAACCGGGGAGGTTAACTTCAAAGTCAACTCTTCGAATCAGAAGTATTTCACTCGCAAACGAGACTAATATAACTGTAGACATAGAACACGAACGAACTCAACTTGTGTTGCGACCATGAAAAGAGATAGTTATCGAACTTACCTTCTTTCTTTTCCAACATTCCAGCTCAGAGTCGAGTCGAGTCAAGTATAGAGAATCCATTTAATCCGTGGAAGACATGTTCAATGATCCTGATTCAGCAGCAACCAGACAAGTTCAAACGTTAACACCAGATATAAACAAGACACAGATCTGTGTTTCTGTTTCTTGGAAATCAAAGCCACAGACAATCTTTAATCAAGAACAGAACAATTTGTTTATCTTATCTTTCACGATGTTTAAGGTAACTTGTTTTGTTTCTTTTTCATCTTATCTAATTTGTGGATTGTTTCTATTAGTTTCTGTTAGTTTCTTGGACCAACTAATGTGTTTAATCCAATAAAAACATCACACGTGGCGTTTCCAGCGTATACCGTGTCAAAAAACTGTACAATATTAAAGATTCAACGCTGCTCAATAATTGAAAAACATGGCTGAAACAAGTCACAATTTATAATGCATGATCAAATACTCATCATTCTGTATAATTACATTCCTTTCTGACAAACACAAGACAGAAGTTCAAATCAATAATACAAGTAACAGCAGGCAGATGTGCAATGCCTGCCCCTTGCTTGGACTCGTAATACAGAAACAGACTTTGTGACAAAATTTGCAACATTGTATTCTTTTGTACTCTCAGAAGAGAGTGCCACAAACAACGCCCAAACCCGAATGCAGCATACCGGGGCAAGTTCATCCGTACGAAGGTCGACTCCCCCCAACCCAAAAGGCAACTCAACTACCAAGAGAAAAAAAAAGGAAATAAAACAGAGACAAAACTAAAGCCATTTCTACCTGGCTGAATTAGAACTGCATCAAATGAGATCGGCAACGTTTGCTGGCAGCTCCTCGACCATGACATTGTAGAACTTTTGGATGTCAAACAGCATTCTTTCATCCTCTGTGGTCACAAAATTGATGGCAACACCCTTCCTTCCAAATCGTCCACTACGACCGATTCGATGGAGGTAATTCTCTGGCTGAGTAGGAAGATCAAAATTTATGACGAGGGAAACTTGTTGGACATCGATTCCCCTAGCCAAGAGATCAGTAGTAATGAGAACACGGGATGAACCAGATCGAAACTCCCGCATGATGATATCTCTAGTGTTTTGGTCCATGTCTCCATGTGTGGCAGAAACAGTGTGGTCACGGCTGCGCATCTTATCGGTCAGCCAATCAACTTTGCGCCTGGTATTCACAAAAATGACACTCTGGGTAATTGCAAGAGTTTCATAAAGGTCGCAAAGAGTCTCGAGTTTCCACTCTTCTTTATTGACGTTGACATAGAATTGCTTGATACCCTCAAGGGTGAGCTCATCACGTTTCACCAAAATTCTCACGGGTTTATTCATAAATTTCCTTGTTATCTCGAGAGCTTCAGGGGGCATTGTAGCAGAGAAAACCCCAACCTGAATCTTTGGAGGAAGAAGCTGGAAAATATCGTAAATCTGCAATATATTGAAACCAAAGCAATTAGGGGAGAAAAATACCAAAAGAATAAACAGAGGCAAACAAAAAAAGATTTCACGTTGTCTTAAAATTTTGTATGCTAAATGCAGATGGAACACTTAGGACTTCAAACCTAACACCAAGAAATTGGGAAAAAGAAAAGAAAATCAGAAAGAGATATGGTGGATGAGAAATAAAAAGACCTGATCCTTGAACCCTCGTGAAAGCATTTCATCAGCTTCATCCAGCACAAACATCTTAATGTGATCGGGGCGAAGTGACTGCCTCCGCAGCATATCGAACACACGACCAGGGGTGCCAACAACAACATGGACACCACTTGAGAGAATGCGTTGATCTTCGCGAACACTGGTTCCACCAACACAAGCATGGACCTTGACACCAAGATAATCACCTAATGCACGCATTACCTTTTCAATCTGTTGTGCCAGTTCTCGGGTGGGTGCAAGAACTAATGCCTGGCAATCAACTAGGCCATAATCTAGCTGCTGCAAAATTCCAGAGCAGAAAGTGGCTGTTTTTCCAGTTCCAGATTGTGCCTGTTGGATAACATCAAGTCCCTTACAGAATGGAACAATACCTCTTTGCTGAATTGCAGAAGGCTTCTCAAAACCTATAATTTGGACCCAGAACTAGATTAGACTATGGTTCAGGGCCACAGGCTACAAGCTCACACTTAGAAAAGTAGAAACCAGAAAAGTGATGGAGGAGGAAAAGGAAGAAAGTATGTATACCATAAGCATATATTCCTCTTAAGAGATTCTCCTGCAAACCCATGGAATCAAAACTCTCATAGACTTCATCATATGAGGTGAAAAAGTCTTGGCCATCTCCCCCAAGCCTACAACAAAGCCAAGTTTTAAAGTGGAAAAAGAAGTGTTAAGGGTTCGTCCGAGTGTCATAAAAGATGAACTATGGTCGAGTTGAGTTAGGGGAAAGGACGACTGAAGTGCTTAAAAGACCGAGACGGTTAATGTATACAGCACCAATCTGACAATCAATTGGGACGGGAAGGGGAGAGAGAACTCACAAATCATTCATCTTGGAATCAAATTGACGTGCATCAAATTGGGATCCTTCAGCTGCCATACCAGCCATATCTGGGAACAAATACAAATCTAATTAGATCATCATCATTCCTTACACAAGGAGAAAAAACTAGATGTAGATCCATGGACACACACTCAACAACAATGTCCAAATGCCTTCAAACATCAGAATAATATAGGGAAATTATATTTATGAAATAATGTCTTTGTCCTGGAAAACCAAATGATCAAAATAGATAGTTTGGGCTTTAGATCAGATTCATGAATTGATAAAAATCCAGATAATCAATTCGTATGTCTCGAGCAACAACAAGATAACAAAAATTAAAGGACATAAGCATAAAATGCTACTGGATTCTTGTTGATGTCGTATGGAAGAAGTACGATTCTCAACCAAGTAATGAGCTACAGTACTCCATCTAACACAGTAAAGGTCCAAGAAAATAAAATACAAAGGAAAGCTCTCCTTCACGTACCTGCTGCAACTGCAAGTAATAAACAAGGTGGAAGGAATGTATGGTGTGAATTATATATATATATAACAAATTGGTGGGTAATGGGTATGGAGGGTATAAAAGTATTCCAAACCTTCATATGACCTTCATATAGTCAACTAAGTAAAACGTGGATTGACAACCAATGCCAGGTACATAATTCAAATGTTATCCCTCAGGTATTAATACAACACTTCGTCATCATATCAAAGGGGAGAGAACCACAGCATGTACAAGGATTAAAAGGCAGCTAAATGTAAGCTATAAGAGCACAAGCCCACAGCTAATAGATATTGTCCGCTTTGGTCCGTTACGTATTGTCGTCGGCCTTACGGTTTTAAAACGCATATGCTAGGGAGAGGTTTCCACACCCTTATAAGAAATGTTTCGTTCCCTTCTCCAACCGATGTGGGATCTCACAATACACCACCTTTGGGGGCCAGCATCTTCATTGGCATACCACCCAGTGTCTCGCTCTGATACCATTTGTAATAGCGAGACACTGGGTATTTCCACACCCTTATAGCCCAAGCCCACCACTAGCCGATATTGTCCGTTTTGGCCTATTACGTATTGCCATCAACATTTCCACACCATAACAAGTAATGCTTCATCAACCTCTCCATACCCTTACAAGTAATGTTTCGTTCTCTCCAACCAACGTGGGATCTCACATATAAAGTTCAAAAAATAACTAATTCAAATAGTGATCCAATAGTGAAATCGTTAAACTCGATCCATATATTTTATAAACGAGGAACCTGTCACCTTACAAAGTAAAATGATATGTTAACCGCCAAAGCCATCTGAACGAACTCTCGAGTTAATCATTCTTGATTTAACCAATCCATCTCTTTCATTCCACAAGTACTCTAACTCAACGTGAGAACGTGTCAGTGCACGACATAAATACAACCAATTCAAATCAAAACAAATACATAAACATGGATCCCAATTCATGAAGCTTGCTGCGAGCCCTTTCTCAGTCGCACAATATACAGTACAGCCTCCAAGTTACAGAGATCGCTTTAATTAATAACTAAACTTTCCCCGACAAGGGAGCACCAATGGCGGATCGTAGAGAAGAAAATCCGACGACCATGACAGAGAAATTGGAGTAAATAACATACAAGCAAAAGGGTGAAAGAAAATCAAATGGAAACGAAAAAGAGCGTAAAAGCACCTGAATGCGAGGGCGATAAATCGAGGAGGCGGAAGATTTAGGAGGAACAGAGTGAACAGAAAAATCAGAGATTGAAAATTTTCCAAACTCCTCGGATCTCTGTACGAACGGGTTACCGGAGGAGTTCCAAGAACGTCACGTCACGTCACAGAAGAGAGAGGATGGTATTGATTGAATGATTAAAAGTTCTCGTTTTTTCCAATTCTCCATTCCGTTGCACTGTATTGTTTTTGTTTGTTTCGTGACCCGTAGAAACGGCCTGGGCTGACCCATTTGGTACAATGCAATGGGACAATTTTCAGAAAATAAACATGGGCCCAGGCCCATTTATTTATCCCACGTGCTTCCCATGCCCAGGCCAATTTTTAGAAAATAAACATGGGCCCAGGCCCATTTATTTGTCCCACGTGCTTCCCATGCCCGGCCAATTTTCAGAAAATAAACATGGGCCCAGTCCCATTTATTTATCCCACGTGCTTCCCATGCCCGGCCAATTTTCAGAAAATAAACATGGGCCCAGGCCCATTTATTTATCCCACGTGCTTCCCATGCCCGGCCAATTTTCAGAAAATAAACATGGGCCCAGGCCCATTTATTTATCCCACGTGCTTCCCATGCCCAGGCCAATTTTCAGAAAATAAATATGGGCCCAGGCCCATTTATTTGTCCCACGTGCTTCACATGCCCAGGCCAACTTTCAGAAAATAAACATGGGCCCCGGCCCATTTGGTTGGGCCATTTTTTCAGAAAATAAACCTTGGGACATTGAGAGATTTCTCCTCATTAGCCTCATGGTTTTAAAATGCGTTTGGTTGACGACCATACATAATTGACTAAAACAGACATTATCTTCTAGTGGTGGGCTTGAGCTGTTCCCATTTGGCAGTGTGCCGGTGAGGATGTTGGGTCCCCAAGGGAGGGTGGAATGGAAAATGAAGCATGTTTTATAAGGGTGTGGAAACTTCTCCTTAGTAGACGTCTTTTAAAATCGTGAGGTTAATGACGATATGTAAGAAGCTAAACCGAACAATATCTGTTAGCAGTGAGATTAGGCTCTTACAAGTAAGAGCATCAAGACCATATCTTTTCGTAGTGATAGTAGTAACACAAGTGAACGAATCTAATCTCCCATTACGTGAAGAGTCTATACCCATTTAGAGATAGAGACGAACAAAAGAGCCCCTGATCCAACTAAACTAGGCCGTTTCATCAAATGTCAAACAGACTAGATCCCATTTGAGTCGACCATATCGATATAAACGCTTCATTTGGAATCGACCTATTTAGATCCCCTAAGAATTGGATTAGATTGCATAGCTCACAATGGCAAGAATAGAAAGGAGGAGAAGAAAAAAAAGGGATAATAGATATGATATGCATATCTTATAAATGGTGAGGCTAAGTGGGAACTTTACTCTTTCCTATCCACAAATTATTGGGTATTAATTCCTTCAAACTTCATACCCCTTTTTGCTTGGAATGGAATCTAAAGTAATACCTTTTCTCATCACTCCCCAATTAGGAAAACTCGGCTTAGCTATTAATTCGTCGTTAGAGTATTAAACTTAGGCTAAGCTATTGATTTGATTTACGTGTTAGCAATTATTTTAATTCGAATGAATGATAATCTATACTTTGGTTGAGTTCAGTTTTAGTCGAAGTGGATATCAGCATTAGATGGATGGTCTATATCAGTTATTTTAAAGTGGATATCAACATCAAATGGACGGTCTATATCAGTTATTTTGGAGGAGTACTTGATTTAATTTCTATTTTTTATTGGGTATAGTTTCCATTTTCTCTCCCTTGTAGCCATTACTCGAATTCGAGCAAATATTATCGACAAAGCTATACTTGGGTGAACGGTTTTGATGTCCATCTCTTATCATTTCATCACAATTTTACTGAAATTTTATTGAACGAAAAATATATATATATTATTTATTATTTTATAATTAAAAAAACAATTAATAAATGTTGTAATAAACTCAAATTGGATACTCTAAACTAAGTAAAAATCCCAAAATTCATTAAATAATTAATTTGTTGAAATTAGTGGAAACATGGTCAAAATATTCTTCACTAATATATAAAAATATAATATTTAAATTAAAATAATAATATAAAAAGAATATATGCCTCTGGATAATTTAAATTAAAGGCATATATACCGGGGGATGCTTTTATAAGTGAAATAATAAATTAAGAATCTATTTTTTTAGCTAGCCTTCTAGAAAATATTCCTATTTTTTTTAAATTAAAATTTTAAATCAACTCTAAAATTGCATATTAACTACTTAATTTAATTTTATATTTAATAATTTTTAATGGGTTCAATAATCTAATTTTTATAAAAAAAAAAAAAAATAATTTCGAAAAATTATTACGTTTGATATACATTAATAAAATAAATATTTTTTTTTATAAAAATTAAAAAGGTATTAATGAAATTTCTTAAAAGTTTTAAAACATGACAGAGAATATTATTTACGACAATATTAAAAAAAAAATATAGACAAAATCCATAGAGAATTTTGCATGAATATGAGGGATAAACTGAGAAAAGGGAAATAAAAGTCTCCTTCCTTTATTTCTTCTCTTTATTCTATACGTGATCGAGTTGATATCTCGCTTTCACATTTGAAAATTTTGTGTATATAAACCTCCTTGAGGTCGGGTTTCCTAAATTGGTATGCAACAGTTAAAAAAGATTATCACGATCAGAGAAGTGAGGTCGAAAACGAAGATTCAAGAGAGAAGAAAGCATCAAAATTAGCTAAAATTTCGTTTTTATTTATTCGTTTTAAAAAACGAAAAAACCGAACGATATTAACATAGCTCTTTTTCTTGCTCGTTGTTGTTGTTGTTATTATTATTTTATTTGCATGAAATATTATTGAAAAAGGAATTAGGAGGTGACAGAAGAGAGGGAGCACACATAGTTCTTTCGAGAGAGACTATGCTTGAAGCTCTGTGTGCTCTCTATCTCTCTGTCACCCCAACTCCTCCTTTCTTTTGGTTTTTCTTTGTTGGTTTTTTGAGCTATGTAACCTTTCATTTTGTTCTTATTTTTCTTTTAGGAATGGAGTTTGATCGTGATCGGAACCACGGATGCCCAGATCAAGAGCTATGTAAAACGACTAAAGAGAAGACGTACGTGCAAATCCAAGTCGTGGTATTAACCATGAAAAACGAGAGCTAGAGGGAAAAGAAGTCATTGTGTATCGGTGTGTAAAACTAGAGATGTCCATTTAACCAACTCGTAGAGACCTGGGAACAATCCCCATTTTATCAGTTAGTTAAATGGGCTAGGGACAGAGATAATATTCGATAATTTAAAATATATGTTTTGTTTACTATACAATTATATATATATACATATATTTACGGTTGAGTTGAGTTAGGTGGAGTTAGATTCATTATTTAACTAGAGTTGTTTGAATTGAAAAATTTAGGTCAGGTCTAAAAGTGTCTCAATCTAATGCACGAATGAAGTCATTTGGCACCTCGAGCTCGGATCCAAAACTTTAAAAAGGAATAGTTTTTAAAATTCTACATCCCAAACAAACATATACGACACCGTTGGCGCGGCGGGGGTGGCGGCGGCGTGTATATGACGGGGCAAGAACTGATACAGAGAAGGCTAACCGGAGGCACCATCTCGACTCCGACTCCGCCGCCGCCCCCGGAGAGATGAAAGATCAGAATAATGAAAAGGGAAGAGAAATGAAGGGTTTTGGAGAAATTCTCCATGGATGAAGCTTAAAAAGTATATCTTTTTTCCTCTAATGACAAAATTAAAGATTAAAATGTAAAAACAAACAGTAATCCCAAGCAAAGCTTGTTTCTAACCTTTCTGAAAGCATAATCAATGTTTATGTAGATTATTCCCCTTCTGTTCATGCTTGCTTTATACTGTTCTTCCCAGGCTGCCTCCTCGGTTCCTTCCTGGAAATTCCCTGTTTCAACAAGGTTGCCCCTAACAAGAAGCAATGCATTACAATCACGAACAAACTCCATACATTACAACTACTGAATTCAATGTTAGGCAGCCAACAAAATGATTCAAGAACCGAGACCCATAATCATAAATTCTCAACAGAATCAGTCCAAAGCTATAAATCAACTCTGCAAAAGTGAGACCACAAACCAGATACTAAGATCACCGTTAGAAGATATTTTCCTCTTTGGGCTTTCCCTTTCGAGATTCCTCTCAAGATTTTTAAGAGAGTCTAACCATACTCCGACTAATGTCTCGCATCATCCGGTGACTGAACCTGAAATTATTTGTAACAGCCCAAGCTCACTATAACAAATATTGTGAGTTCCCACATCGGTTGGAGAAGAGAACGAAACATTTCTTATAAGGGTGTGGAAACCTCTCTCTAGCTGACAATATGTAACGGGTCAAAGCGGACAATATCTACTAGCGGTGAGCTTGGCTTGTTACACTAAGTATTGACTGAACTTGAAGCAGATGCATAAAACATCAAAGGAGTCGTTGATTTAGTATAAACTATAAGTTTGTGTTATGTTCCAGTCGATAATGCCACGACAACATGCGATGAATACAAGTAAACGGACGATTTTGACCTGCATGACTTGAGAATAATGAAAAGTTGTTAAGAATTTACAATGGTGTTCTTTTTGTTATGGAATGATGTAAAATCCAATATAACATGTGGAATCAGCTGCTTTACTCCTGAACTGATGAGTTTTAGCTCTTGATGGGATCAGCTATAACTTTATTATCTGTTGCAAACATCAACCAGAATCTTCAGATACATGTATGAAGGTTTCTTGAAGAGACAGGTTTGTTCACATTACTGATCCTTCGGCTTATTCCACATTCAAATGAAGAACTCCATTAGGTTCATATTCTATTCACCACAGCCCTTCTGTAAGCAGTCATTAAATCAAGCAACTTTCCTCACAACTGTCATACGTTGGAATCCTGTTTTGGGAACAAAAAACAACTGATCATCATTGAAAATAACAGGTCTAAGGCATTGTATCTTTGACATGTGAAAGAATATGGTTGCTAAGTTGAATTTGATTCTCTCATTTCATGAAATTAAAAGCAATAGTTCAGTTTAAAAAGTAGTGGACCTCATTTGATGACTGTGGCCTCGAATTGGAACTTGATGCAGCAGAGCGTAGAAGTAGACTCCGGCTTTCACGTTTGTCAGAACTCCTC